GGTAGGGTCTGCGCGCATGCCCCCTACCCGGAAAATGCAAAATCATGTATATATACGTGATTTTGCACACATGTGCCGCCTTGTAGCAGTATTTCTGCTATAGGGGGGTCAGGACGCGGTTAAAGTGTATTTCCATTTTTGCATCCAAATTGGGGAGACACCTACTTTATATTTTTTACATGTTTCCGTTAACATATCATAAAAAATTACCATCTTAAGTGCTTTGTTTAACATAAGTGTAATGTTTAACATAATTAATACCCGTCTGTACTGTGTTTGCAGTATTTGCATTATTAGTTGTAAACTTAATTTGAATGCTGTGGGGCTGATTTACTAAAACTGGAGAGTGCTAAATCTGGTGCATCTGTGCATGGTAGCCAATCATCTTTTAACTTTAGCTTGTTCAATTAAGCTTTGACAATAAGACCTGGAAGCTGATTAGTTTCTATGCAGAGCTGCACCAGATTTTGCACTCTCCAATTTGAATAAATCAACCCCTGTGAATCCTAACAAAGGGTTAAACATTTGTGGGGACAGAGCCACTGTGAGATTCTCCAGAATCAGCCAGCCCAAAAAAATAAAAAAAATAAATGATAATAATAAATATATATATATATATATATATATATATATATATATATAATATATGAATTGGAATTGAAACACTTAACAATTGCATAACCTATAGTGGGGTTTTCTCAAATTTTACTGCAAATGTGGAATTATGCTTTAGGAAACACTGGTTTCAGCTTTTAAGTAGGCAAAAACAGTTTCAGATAAACTCTAGATAACTACATTTTGTTTTCTATTGTTGTTACCCTATACCTTGTTCTTTCTTGTTTCTAAAATCAGAGCCCCTGCTTTGTCTTTTATCTGCAATTGACTGGCAGACTTATAGAATAATTCTATGCACCTACAGAGCTTGCCCTTGGGTGGGTTTGGAGAAAAACAGCATTTGGGCAGATAACAGAGAGAGAGGAATCTAATGAGTTTTATAATCACGTTCTGGGACGAAGTCAAGTGATAGCCAGTTCTTATCATAGCAGCAAATGTATTGATTCACTTTATGGTGAACATGTTTATTTGTCCACATGTTTGTGTATTGTGTCGATTCCCGTGAAAGCACATCATTCATTCTATAACCATTTCACTCCTCCATCTCTTTAGAAGGTATAGAGGCTCCTTTACTAAAGGAGTTGAGGTCCTTCACACTATAAAATGTGCCAATATATACTTCAATTATCCAATCATGTGCAGATAAAATAAGTAAGCTGGATTTTTCTTTTCACATAATTGGACAATTAAAGTGAAAATTCACACAGTTTATTGTTTGAAGATTCTCAGCTACTTTACTAAATCTCCCTCATAGAGTTTAAAGAAATGGTGGTAGTTTTAAAGGGATAATTACCATGGCTTACAGATGTCAAAAGATTTGACAAAGTTGGGACAGTTAATGAGTAATCCTGGCCGCCATATTAGATGCAAGTAAAGTTACTGGTTTTGGAGGCTCAGATGTATTTATTTACTAAAAGTGGAGATGGCCATATCAGGCTCACTTCTGCATAGAAACCAATTAGCTTCCAGGCTTTATTGCTAAAGCTTAATTGAACAAGCTGAGGTTAGAAGCTGATTGGTTTCTATGCAGAAGCGAGCCTGATTTTTTCACTCTCCAACTTCAGTAAATAAACTGCATAGTTTCTGGTGGAAATAGTAGTAATAGCAGTAGTAGTAGTAGTAGTAGTAGTAGTAGTAGTAGTAGTAGTATTATAATACTGTTGTGGTTAACATAAAAAAGTGTCTGTTCTAGAAATCCTGGCATTGTAAATACACACAGATAGACAAAGGACGTTGTTCCATCCTACGCATTTAATCATAGATGGCAATTCCAGGGAAATGAAATGTGTAGGGTGGAAATATGTCTTCTGACATCATCACGTCATATACCGTAGCCATTTTGTCAGTTGGAAACAATAGCAAACCCATATGCTCTTTCTGCTGTTTGTCTGTAAGTGCATTACTTTTATTAAATATTGAATTACCATAATACTATGCCATCAGGATCTTTTCTTCTCTTTTTCATGCAACTTAACATCCTGAGGCGGTTTATTGAATTATAAAACTTGAGTTATAAACCTTGGAGTTGCTTTTTGAAGGAGAAGCCTTATGGTCTTACATTTTCATCACCATTTGGTGGCGATTATTTTGGAGTATAACCTCTGTGGTGTGAGCTGCAGAGGTACCTCTAGGAGAAGAAGATATATGATCCTATCTTTCCATTGACCGTCTGCAAATGCTGTGTAAGACCACATGACCTGTGGTCTCATCCTCTGATAAGAGGCTGTGTATGGTGTTGGTGGAGTATCTCTTCTTTTCCCCTTTTGGGCAATTCATCAACCTTTTCCGGTAATGTGATTTACGGAAGATTTAGTCACCATTTTAGGACTTTTTCCTTTAAGGACTTTTTTTTTTTATTTAATGTTCTAATATTTATGCTAATTGTGAGAGAACAAGAGCTACATTTTGCTCTTTATTTCATTTTACCATTGTTACCGTCAATTTGATGCTAGCTGCTATATTTTTCTCCACAAAGCGCAAATTTATCTCATTATATTTAGTACAATTATACAGCCTAATATGTGTAGCACCCTCCTAGGTAGCTAGGGGGAGCTAGCTCAGGTTTTTTCAGCTAGGAAGACTGAGTAGCAGCCTAGGTTGGGTCAGGAAGCGTTATTTCAAGTCAGGGCTGAGAGGTAGGTCAGTTCCCTGATACCCCCCTGCTCTAGAATCTTGGAGAAGATTCTTGAAGCAGTTGGCGGGGGTGAGGAGGAACTGGCCTGCACACTTACGGGACTCTTGCCAATCCATAAGCAGGATACTTGGCATGGGGCAAGGGCAGTCTTTACGTAGGACAGAACCTGCTCAGCAGCAGGAGAGTTCAGGTGGAAGATGGAGTGAGAAGGTGTAGGAGCCTGGGAGGGGGCCCAGTTGGAAAGGGGCCCACCTCCAGGCAGTGGTGCTGGAGAGGAGGAAAGCTCAGACCTCATTGGCCCCCAGAGCGAGGACCACCTGTGCAGCAGGCAAGAGCCAGCCCAGCTGAAGGCCTGAAAGCAGCTACCAACCCACCAGCACATAGGTATAGGGCTGAGTGAGTAATCCTTTACCCCGTGACCAATTAAAGGGGTAAAGAGCTCTCTGATGGGAAACCTGATTATATTTTTTATCAGGGACTGTTCCCCTTAAAGTGGCGGACACTGGATCCCCATCCAGGAAATCCTTCAGACAGCTGGATAGAAGAGGATTGTCTGGGTCTAGGCTTATACACCAGGAGAGGCTGAAGAGCTCTCCAAGAAGAGATTTGCCATGTGAAGACTTGTACATAGTTCCAGGAAGCTGTCCTCAGATGCAGTTCTCTTGGGCATCACATACACCCCTTACCACTTCCAGGTTATTTATCCCCTAATTAAATAAAAAACAACAAGCTCAAGGATTGCTTACTGTCTTCTGGATGCAAGTCTGTGAGGAATGCGTGTTGCCTGGCTGTGCAGGACTATAGGGGGACCCAAATCTCTAGCGACTTCTAAGCGGGTAGTGCTACATATATGTAGGAGGAGAGAAGGACAAACAGCAGAACATTTGCAGAAACAAGTAATTTACCCTTATTTATTATTTCTTAATTAATACCGTACAGTAATTGTTTTTTTCTTTTAATGCTAGTAGACATGGACACACTACTTTTATATTTTGTCCACTGTAGGAAAAACACATTTGCTTCAGTGCAGTCTTAAACTAAAAAGTTTGATTGGAAAAAATATTAGGAAACAAGAAAGAAAAAATTACCAAAACATTTTTATAGGTTTTATTTCTTGTCTAACAACAACAATAACAGGGCTTTAGTTATAACCCTTTAATGGTAGTAAGGATGGTTGCATAGGTATATTTTGATACTACAATATTTTTTCAATATCACCTAGTATGTGTGGAATATCAGCTTAAATCACATCTGCTCATAGTTCTTGGTCAATAAAATGTCTTGTTCGGAAGCAATTAACCCTTTCGCTGCCAGGCCCTGCACTCCACTTTAAACTCAGGTGGTTGGGTCATTTTTGTACCTTTTCCATTGATCTTTTATTTTTCCCTTACAGAATTCAGAGTTTGTAAAAAGACCCCCAACCATATATTTTCTGAAAGCACATGACTAGTAGAATAAAATGAAGTTGCTACTGAATTTTAAGACCCCGCAATATTTTTCTCTAAAAATACACTATAATCATTATTAGCATGTTTTTTTTTTTTTTGCAAAATGGTGAAAATCAAACTTACTCAACAATTAGTGTGAACCTAACCTTAATATTAATTTTTTTATTTTTTTTGACAACTGGGGGGGGGGGGGGCTTTGAGCTCTAATGTCTCTTTTTTGAGACAGAGAAAGGGACTGAAGACAGTCCCTTTCTCTGCAGCCTGGGACCAGCCTAGCCCCCATCCTGACAGCTGTCAGTGCTGCAGCCGGTGGGAGGGTGAGGAGGCAAAATGGGGAGAGCCACAGCTGTGCTCTCCCTCCTAACCCCGCTCTCCATCCTGACAGCTATCAGTGCTGCAGCTGGCCAGAGGGTGAGGAGGGATAGCTTGCTAGCAGCAGTGCATGGGGGGGCCATGGAGCATCAGGATGCTGTGGGTGATGGGGGGCAGGGGAAGTTTGCACTGAAGGGGGAGTCACAGCTTAGGCTGTGGGTCCCATGCAATTATCATTGGGAGAGACAGAGGAGGGAAGCCAGTACTTGCATGGGAGCCACAGAGGATTGGTGCATGGGGGGGGGGGGGTAGAGAGAGGGGTGAAGGGAATTCAGTGTTGGGGGACACAGAAAAGGGGGAGGATGGGGCCAGTAAGGGGGAGTGGACACAGCTTATAAGCAGTTAGGAGAAGTGAAGGGGAAAAGGCAGTGGGTAAGAGGCACAGCAGCAGTGGCGAATTGGGGGAGGGGGCCCCATTTTAAGTTAATAGCTCTGATTAGGGGTTTGTTAGCTGCTAATTAGAGCTATTATTTTGTTCAGCAGAGTCTGCTGAACGTTTCTGCTCAGGGGCGGACTGACCATTTGAAAACTTTGGCACTGCCCGAGGGCCCGGGTCAGTAGGGGGCCCCATGAGATGCCCCTGGTACCTTTTTCATAGGCTTTTTTGAGTTTGGGCAAGGACACAGGGGCCCCATGATTCCCTATTGCCCAGGGGGCCCCGTGAGTTTTCAGTCCGCCCCTGTTTCTGCTATAAGTTCATGATCACTGAAGTGACCATGAGCTTGTAGCAGAAGCAAGAATGTGAGAAATGTCAGTTCCACAAGGCGTACGGACCTGGCCAGCTGGAAGCAGTGCTGTAGTGCTGTACGCCGCACAGACCTGTGTACAGTGTACGCCGGACAGACCTGACAGCAAAAGGGATAAATCCTAGGTGCAGCCTCAAATACTGAAATATCAACACAAGTGACATAACTTACAGTCAGTAGAATATGTGCCTTGGTTTCTCTGCTGTAAGTAGTAATTCTCCTCTGTCCTGCCAACTCCCCCCACTGTAATCATCTGGTGCAGCAAGTGTTAATACAACTAAAGGGCCCTCATCCAGAGATACTCAAAAGAGGCGCTTGAGGTTGGTTCAAAAAATATATTAATGTACCAATACACCTCCACCACAATTAGATGTTTTCACCTAAATAACTTTACAAAACCAACAAAAAGCCCAACAGGTGGACACAGTCAAAGCAGTAAAAATAATTAACGAGCGCTCGGAGATGGATAGTAAGCAGCTAGCATGAAAGGCACAAACCCCAAACCTTCATACTATAAATAATAACACATGCAGCGCTATGAAAAAAGGGGATATATACAAATGAGTGATAAGCTACTGGTGCTTAAAAGTGATTATGAAAAGTCCTCATATCATAGTTCAATAGTTCCAATAAACAGTGCAAAGGTGGTCCACTCCGTGCTGAAAGGTATATAATATGCACTCACCAGAAAGCGCATAATATGCGCATTTGAGTTGTCAGACCACTCCTGGTCCTAGAAAGCTGAAGCAGTGCGGATCGTCTTAGCAGGCTGTCACTCTGGTAGGGTACACCTTTCCTTAACCAGCAGAGGGATTCCAGACATCAGGAAATACTTGGTATACCTAATCCAGACTTTCTCAACCAGGGCATTCATACAAGATATCCACCTTGAGAGAGGGGGGGGCTTGGCCAAACAGCCCACCCCAAAAAACACTGATAGTGTAGTACGTTCAGAAAAAACTTTATTTGCAGAGTAAAGGTAACTGACTCACAGGGTATCCCAGAAGTAAAGATGGCCGTCGGCCTCCACGAGGTACGGAACGGCGTGACGTCACCGGCTAGGCTCCACCCTGACGCGTTTCGTGCGGACGAGCACGTTGTCAAAGGGAGCGAGCACTAGCCGGACAGTGATACATATAGTAATTTCTGCGCATGCGCGGTAAACAAAAGGAAGCCGGTGACGCCATCTTGGCCCGCTCGCGCATGCGCAATGCATACGACAGCGGCCATTTTCTTGGTTATCACGGCTCAGGATAGGTAATCGTCATGTATGTTGGTGAATTCATCTCGTTTTTACTACATAATAGAAACAAGTATTCAGGAAGCCCAAAACTACCATATTGGAGTGGATACTGGCCCTCAATCGTATTGCTCATATTATTGCAATATCCCTGACTCCATTAAAGTGGAGTCTAATACAGGTACAGACAGATTTATCATTCCCAATTAATGCACAATAGGTGCAAGTATGAATGTAATCTAATTAGAAAGCAATTGACCGATAAATATTAATATATTCATAGGTAATGTCATAACTAAGAATGAATGCATATAAAAATACAAATGTATATAGAAAACATTCATAAATAATAAAATCATGCCTAAAAATCATGCCTAAAAAACTCCCACCTGAGCCAGGATAACCTACAGTCCAAATGGTATATAACAACATATAAATATGAAACATATACAACCCACATAATACACATGTAAATATAAAAACCATGTAATAAAATCATAAACACCCTTATTGTGCTCTCCAGTCCCAAACCCCATAATTAATAAAAAACGACCTATATATTGGGGTTATCCTCATAATCTTTATAAAGTAAACATGATAAAGATGGAATCCATAAATGCATAAGATATATATAAAAGTGATGGGGGGAAGGGAACCCCATTAGAAAGAAAGAAAGCCCTGTAAATCATAAAAATGGGCTAAAACATATCAACTCATATCAATGAAGCAATTAATGTCAAGGTCTATATTCAGACCTTGAGGAAAAAATGACTGAAGCTCATAAATCCACTTGGTTTCCAATCTAGCAACCGATCTCTTTTTGTAAGTACCCCTCCAAATGCGGTTTAATGATGTCTATAGCCGCAAATTTCAAGCATTTGGGATTGTTGTTGTGGCACCGCCGGTAATGTAAGGATAATGAATGATCCTTAAAACCTTTTTTAATATTTTTTAGGTGCTCACGTAATCTATCCCGTAGCCTTCTTGTCGTCCTCCCAACATATTGTTTCCCACAGCCACACTCTAGTAGGTAAACAACGTGTGTACTATTGCAAGTGATGGTGTCTTTAATTTCATAGGTCCTATTGGTGGTATTAGATGCAAAAGTCTTCACCGGTCTCTTGTGTATACCGTTATCAACACAAATCATGCACCTATTACAAGGATAAAAAAACCCTTGTGTCCAAAACTGAATTTTAAAATTTTTAGGGGATCCACTATGTTGGGGGCTAAAGATAACCTAAGGGGGGGTGCTCTCCGGAAAATGATCTCAGGACGGTTAGGTAGTACTTTACCCAATACTGGGTCATTAAGAAGGATGGACCAGTTTTTCTTAATGATTTTGGAGACATCTTTATATTGGGTATTAAAATTTGTAATAAAAGGACAGATAATATTATTATTATTAGCAGCTGTGGTGGGCTTAAGTAATTCATTTCTATCTATATTTTGTACTTCCTCTATTACTTTGGTCAGAAAAGGTTCATCGTACCCTTTTTCCAAAAACCTCTCTTTTAAAATTATGGATTGTCTGTGGAAATCCTCAATATTAACACAGTTTCTTTTTATCCGAAGAAATTGGCCCTTTGGGATATTCATCAGCCATTTCGGGTGGTGACAGCTGTCAAGTGGAATAAAGCTATTTTTTGTTTACCGCGCATGCGCGGAAATTACTATATGTATCACTGTCCGGCTAGTGCTCGCTCCCTTTGACAACGTGCTCGTCCGCACGAAACACGTCAGGGTGGAGCCTAGCCGGTGACGTCACGCCGTTCCGTACCTCGTGGAGGCCGACGGCCATCTTTACTTCTGGGATACCCTGTGAGTCAGTTACCTTTACTCTGCAAATAAAGTTTTTTCTGAACGTACTACACTATCAGTGTTTTTTGGGGTGGGCTGTTTGGCCAAGCCCCCCCCTCTCTCAAGGTGGATATCTTGTATGAATGCCCTGGTTGAGAAAGTCTGGATTAGGTATACCAAGTATTTCCTGATGTCTAGAATCCCTCTGCTGGTTAAGGAAAGGTGTACCCTACCAGAGTGACAGCCTGCTAAGACGATCCGCACTGCTTCAGCTTTCTAGGACCAAGAGTGGTCTGACAACTCAAATGCGCATATTATGCGCTTTCTGGTGAGTGCATATTATATACCTTTCAGCACGGAGTGGACCACCTTTGCACTGTTTATTGGAACTATTGAACTATGATATGAGGACTTTTCATAATCACTTTTAAGCACCAGTAGCTTATCACTCATTTGTATATATCCCCTTTTTTCATAGCGCTGCATGTGTTATTATTTATAGTATGAAGGTTTGGGGTTTGTGCCTTTCATGCTAGCTGCTTACTATCCATCTCCGAGCGCTCGTTAATTATTTTTACTGTTTTGACTATTATCTACCAACCTGGTTATACTGAGCTGCTGGAGTATTTCCTTAGTAGGTTTATATACCTATCCCCTTTTTTGTCTCTTTCCAATTTTAAATGGAGGAGGATATCTTTGAGTTTAGGTCTAAAAGACCGATGTTATCTGAGGAGGTATTTACCCAAGAAGATGACTCTGATGACCTTCATGGGCTATTTTTGCATTTGTCTAACCATACCACCTCTGAGATCAGAACCCTTTGGGATATTACTTTTTTGGAAAAATATTTTAAAGAGGGTATGGTTCCTAGATCTTTGAGGTGGGAGGTTCCTCCGGAAGTCGGAGATGTTAACAGTGAAGCAGAATGGTTTTCTTTTTTCAATAACAAAGGCTTAGATCTGTTGACCTTTTTGGTGGCCAGGAAGAAAAAGAAATTAATATACTTAGACAATGAGATTAATAAAACTAAGGAAAGATTACTACCATATAAAGGGAAGGATGAATATAAAACAGAATCTAATCGGTTAAAAATTCTTCTTGACAAAACTGAAAAGGAACAGAGAATTAAGAAAAAGAAAAAATATGGGAGAGACTGCAAAGATTATGTAAATAAAGAAACATTTAAATGGCAGACCTCCAACCTTCCCCATTCTTCACAGACTGTCCCTCAGGTGGAAGGTAATCTCTCTAGACCTTACATTCATCCCAATAAGGGTAATGCCCCACGGAACAACCCCCAAAAAACAGTGGGGACACCAAAAAGAAGTAATTATAGGATCAATAATGATCGACCTCCCACCACACCAAATTTCTTGCAAGATCAATATAATGTACCCACTTTTAACAGGTATCAGGGGTTTAATCAGGTGCATACACCTTTCTATGGAGACAGGAATTTTAGGCCACATCCTAATTACAATCATAACAATAACAGATCAGTTACCAATCAAAATGGTAATAGAGGGCACCCGCACAAACCACAACAAGGGGGTACCTGGAGAGAAATACTAAAAACTATAGTTCAGGGAATTATGGTAATAATAATTATCATAACCAACAAGGAGGGAGAGGTGACTGGACCCCAGTAAGGCATCAATACTCCAGTCAAAATTGGGGTTCATCACCAAGGAGGTACCC